CTCCTTCACTCCTTCGCTTCAATTTAACTCCTGAAGAAGACTTATGTGGGCGTTGCCCGAGCTTCATTAGACCCCTAAAAGATACCACTTAAAAAGGAATAGAAAAAGGAATAGGTTCGATTACTAGCCACTGTTCAAGAAAGCATCTCACGCACTTTTGATCCAACTCGCGTAGTCGAGAGATCAGCGGAAAACAAATTAAAGCATTTCTTATATTATTATTTCTTCGAGTGCATCCTAAAGATACTTTGACAGCTAAAAATGGTGACGTTTCGTCATCAACACCCTAAGTGAGACCAGAATCCTTGATTTGCACCCGAAGCATCCCCGACCTTTTTTTAAAGGAGTCCCCCACGGGCTTCGAACATCGCACGGCCCAAGGCCGTTTTACAGTCGATTCCATGTGTCAAGTTAGTTATTCTTTGAAGTATTCAATATCTTACCGCAGAAATGATCTACATTAAATAGATTTTCGCTCGAACGCTTTTATATATAGAAGCTAATTATATCAATAGCTCATTTCCCGAAGGTGTCCGCTTATACAACAGCTCTCGATTGCCGAAAACTGAGGAGATATTGAAATTATAAAACTGATGAGCTGTATGTTTTTTCAAACTATGATTAAAGCCGTGATTAAAAGTTTCGGACAATCAACAGACAAGAGAATTGAAGAGAATTGGAACGACGCGTTTCGCTATTATTTATACAGTATTGTAAACAAATACTTCAAAGGTGAATACGGACATTGCGAAATGATTTGAACAAAATAGATGATAAATAGAAAAAAGACATTACACAAGACTGGGAGTTCAGCAGTCACTGATATCCTGAAAGGGAAGGGAAAAAAAAAAAGAAAAAAGAAAAAAAAAAGAAATTATTACAACACGGGGTATCCATATTTGGTCACCCAACCAAGCAGGAACCTCGTCGAACAGGGCTCTGTTGAGCGGAAGGGACGCGGCGCTGTCTTTGTGGTATCATGACTCTACGTTGGATAATTTTATTATTATTATATTATTATTATTATTATTATTATTATAATTATTATTATTATTATTATTATCATTATTATTATTAAGATTTTTCAAAAGGTAACAAAGAGAGAAAAAGATCACTGATATCGCCCGGGAAAATAAACCATTTCAGCGAGTTTTGAACCGAAACGGAAATTTCTTTGAAAATCACTGAACTCAACCAACCAACCACTGATAATTACCCCGCAGTTGTAACTTTAGCTTCTAGTGAACGTGAGCTTCAATAATGTAAACGTGACTTTTCAAATTAAAAAAAAAAAAGAAAACTGTCAATATCGTACGCAATTGTTTTATTGTTAGGTCTTTTTAGAAGGAGGCAACGCAACAAATAGCATTCAGTTCTCCCCAGGGAACTAAAAACAAGGCTGTTCAGAAAGATTAGTTTACCTCACAAGAGAATTTGAAGGGAAGACAATCAAGGAGAGGACTCTAGCGCAGTGAGTTTTCTAGTTACCAAATTTTACGTTGTTATTAGCTAAGTGCTATCATGATATTTGCCCGGATATGTCTATGCTAGAATGGACATTGGGCTCAATATGTGTACGGTAGATACCTAGTCGCACCATTTTGGTACGCTTCGACGGCATATCGGGCTCATTTGGTCTCGCCATGGGTATTTTGGCTTGACTACGTCTCGCCAAAATAAGAACTATGGCTCGACCAAACTCGTCTGATGTGCCGTCGAAGCGTACCAAAAAAGTGTGACTAGGTAGCTCTAAACAAACTGGAGGAATTAGGTTCCTTCTGAAACTCGCAGAATAAAACACGTCCGCATGAGTCATTTTAAACAGATAGCCCAAACAGAATCAAATTATTTACTGCTAACTGGGTAGGGCCCTCGCTGACACCAATGCAGTTTATATCTTTTGTTGATATTTAGGTAAAAGCTACCAAAATTTACGACTTAAACTTAATTTATCTTGGAACAATTTGGTATGATATGCCATTGTACTCTGAACTTAATGTTCCCATGGCGGCCGTACTTTGAAAAGCATGATTTGTTTTTCAAACTTGAAATTTTACCTTTTTCACCTTTCATGCGCTCATTATTAAAGGGGCAGTGCTTTTTTTAAATCTACACCAATGATTTGCCCAGTAGTTCAGAAGCACTCACGTTTAGGATATTCGTAGACGATACAGATATATTTGCCTCGTCTCACGACGCAAAAAGTCTAGAAACATTCATTAATGCCGAGCTTAAAAAAGTGAATGACTGGTGCGATATTAACAAATTATCAATACATTTGTCGAAAACAAACTATATGATTGTAAAATCATCTAGGAAAAGAAATCATGAATTCATAATAAACATGCAAAGTTCAAATGGCGCGAACCATACTTTGGAAAGAAAAGATCGCATTTAATACTTAGGTGTGATGCCTGAAGAAAGAGTCTCTTTTAAGTACCATATCGCATATGTTTGATCACGAATGTCACGAAACCTCGGAATAATTTCAAAATTAAGATACTACCTAACACTTTCTCACTTAAAACAAATTTACTATAGCCTTATATATCCTTATATAGCATATGCCATCTTACCTTGGGGGAACTGACTTACAAGACCTTTATACAATATGTACAGACCAAGCAAAACCATGCCATCAGATTAATATTTTTTTTTGCAAGAACTTTCGGTGAACAAACAGATAGCGCTGTCCCTCTATTAAACCTTTTAGAACTTCTCACAGTGAACAATGTTTACCGTTTACATACAATAAGATTTTCTCACTTGTGGCATAAAAACCTATTTCCAAACGTTTATCACGATTCTTTCCAATACACTAGTAACATTCATGCTTATAATGCTAGATACGCCGCTAGGCAAAACCTTTGCAATTCAGGAGTCAGAACAAACACAGGGAAACAAAATATATCCTATATGGCTTCCGTCTTTTGTCATGATATTCCTTCTTGTTTGAAAAATCTTAATGTGTACCACTTTTCTAAACAAATTAAGCTATATCTCTTCTCTGAACAACTCCCTGCGTTTGCACTTTATTTACCCGTCTCTTTCATTCCCTTGGTCATATTTTGTTTTGCACGTAAAAGGCAAGGGAATAACTCGAAAACCGCACGGTTCATTTATCCCCCTGGCTCGACTTTAAACCCATATCTTTTTCCCTAAGTTATTGTAATTTTCTTCGCAAATGTGTATTAAGTGTGAAGAGTAAATAAAGCATTTTTAGGACTTTAAAAAGCAATTTATGAGTTCTGGGTGGTGCAGTGGGGGAGGTCAATTAAAGCCCGTTCTAAATAAGGTTGACTGCTTACCTGTGAACGTAAGTGGGGTCCAAAAAAATTCAATTCCTCAAACAAAGAGCACAATTATTTTTTTACCTGGTGTATGAGGTAGCTTTGCCTTGCGTTTGTGAGCGGCACAGTGACTTGAATTGGTCTTACATGACTCAGCAACACACTTAACACAACTCAGTATGTAACTTACTGATTTTTTTTATTCTTTTCTCAAAGACCATGAAGCGTTTTGTTTTCTTCATGATAACTTGGGCCTTGGTGGCGGCAGTCCCTCGTGACAACCGAGCTCAGGTAAGCGTGTGACCTCCGTTCCTTCGTACTTCGTTAGGTTTCCTAAAGACGAACTATTTCATTTTTCTAAGCTGTCTGAAATCGTTTTAAAGCCATGACGCCATAAGCATCGCTTAATGTTGATATGCAAAATTCCTTTGCATAATGATTTTACACACGACTGATCACTGAATCTGATCGAGCGGAACTGAGAACTAATTCGTTCCCTTGCGATCCGCCATCTTGATTTGGGCAAGTAAACTCGTCTTTTGGCAGTTTCTGTTTTGCAATTTCCTGGCTCAAGGTTAAGAGGGCATCGTTAAACGTCATCGCTTCTGAATTAATTTACGTGTCATTTATTCATACTGATATGATTAATTTATTTCCTTACCAGGCTGAAAACCAAGATAAAGACCCTGGTAAGTGTTTCAACCGTCCTCCTTTAGCAATTGTAAGTAGCAGTAAAACATTAATTTTTATTTTATTTTTTGTTGTTCTTGCAAATTGCCAAAATATTGTTGCTAACATTTTGTACTATATCAAACATTACATCTAATAAGTACAAGCTTGGATATGGACGTTACATTCAAGTTATGGTGGTGGGAGTAAGCCAAATTCTAAGCCCCAAATTCTCTTCCATCGACGAAAAAAAAAAATACATAAGCGTAAAAACTTACCCTTTGTTCCCTATCATCATCTATTTGCTATTTAGTTTTTTACCACTTGATAGTTTGACCGCAAGAAAAGTGAGTATGATTATTTATTTTTTTCCCAGGAGGGCACGGTAACGAATCTTGCAATCTGATTGGTTCTTAGCGCGGTCCGGATTTTCCTACTTGCCGACCGTATACAAACCATGGCAAAAACTCTTACGAGTTAACTAGCGAGTTACCCAGATACTCGCCAAAGAAAGATGTATTAAATAGCAGATTTATTTCGAACTACTTTTTGTTAGTTGCATCTAGTTTTAGGGTAATCGAATGCTTTTTGGAGCAAACCGGTCGTGATCCGGAAAAAAAAAAACATTGGGATGGAAATTAAATAAGAGCTCCTGCTCAAAAGTGGCCAACATTTTTGACTAAAGACAATCCTGAATGCAAACTACATTACATTGATGAGCAAATTTACGATTGTTCCCGAAGTGCAATTATTCATTTTACTTTTTATCCGATGTAGTTAAATGAATGAATAAATAAATTTCATTTTTTCTCCTCAGACGTACCCAAAGAACTTTTCGACAACTCAAGGGAATATCCTGAAAATAATTTCCATACTTTTGAAGGTTAGTAGATTAGCAATACATTTAATAAATAACAATTAGTGTATCATTTTTTTTTTCTCAGAAGATACTAGAGCGTGCGTGAAAATCACCCCTTGCGAGTTGTAACTATAGTTAAAGCGACAACGGAAGATGACGTTTAAATAGACATAGGCCTAGGAATCGGAGATATATCGGGGTCTCCTTTCTCCGAAACTCCTGTTTCGGGAAAATACAGTTTTGCAAACAAAACGCTCATAATTTACGTAACAAAAGGAAATTGAAAAGAAAGTTGCTGCTCAAATGTGGCCAGTAAGCTAAAGACATCCTGAATGCACCTACGTAACCGACATGCGCAAATCTAAAATTGCCTTCCCCCCCCCGTTTGCAGTTATTCATTGCATTTATTTATTTATTTATTTATTTTTATGTTGAGTAGTTAAATGAATGAATAAATAGATTTCATTTATTTTCCCAAGACGCACCCGAAGAAGTTTTCGACAATTCAAGGGAATATTCCAAATATAATTTCCAGGCTTTTGAAGAAGGTTAGTAGATTATTTAGCAATACATTTAGTACATAGGCAACGATTGGTCTATCATTCTTCTTAGAGATACTAGAGTGAGCGTCAAAATCACCCCCTGCGAGTTGTAAGTAAGTACAGTGATTATGGAAGATAACTCTTAGATAGGCATAAAGGCGTAAGAGCCGGAGGTCTTTCGGCGTTCCAGATCCCACTGCCGTTTTTCCCCTCAAAACTTTGTTTCGAGAGAATCGTACAATCGTACAAAACGCTCATAATTATTATTTAGGCAACAGGATGTCAATTAAATAAACGTACTTACTAAAAAGTGGCCATCAGGCTAACAAAATCCTGCATGCAACCTGCATGACCATATGAGCAAAATTAAAATTCTCCCCGCTGTTTGCAATTATTCATTTCATTTATTCGTTTTATCGGGTGTAGTTTAATAGTCTTAAATAAACGAGTAGATAAATTTCTGTCTTTTTTTTCTATTAGACGTACCAGAAGAAGTTTTCGACAGTTCAAGGGAATATCCCGAAAATAATTTCCAGACTCCTGAAAGAAGTGAGGCGACGATTACCCTATCATTTTTTTTTCAGAAACCCTAGAGCGCGCGTGAAAATCACCCGCTGCGAGTTGTAAATGTTTAGTTGGAAGAGGACTTTTAAATAGCATATGTCTAAGAGCCGGAGGTCTGTGCCGGGGTGTTCGAGAGCCCCCTTCCCCCTTCTCCCGATACCCCTGTTACGAGAGAATCGTACAATTTTGCTGGCAAAACGTTCGTAATTTTGGGTAACAGAAGGAAATTAAAAAGACTTTCGCGCTTAAAAGTGGCCATCAGGTCAAAGACATCCTTAATGCAACCTACATGAACATATGAGCAAATTTAAAATTGTTCCCGCTGCTTGCAATTATTAATTTCATTTTTTGTTTTCAATCTGGTATACTTAAATGAAAGAATAAGTAAGTTTTACTGTTTTTTCCTGAGACGCACCTGAAGACGTTTTCGACGATTCAAGGGAATATCCAGGAAATAATTTCCAGACTTTTACGGTAGAAGGTTAGTAGATTATTTAAAAATACATTTAGTAGACAAAGAGCAGTCAATCTTTTACTCAGAGATACTAGAGCGCGCGTGAAAATCACCACCTAAATTACAGCAATAATGTAAGATGACTTTACAATACCATCAATAGTACTGTTCTAAGAACCGTGGGTCTGTGGGGTTCCACAGCCATATCCCTCCTGTTTCGGGGAAATCAGCACGAACAAACACGATACCTTTGTTCGATCGAATGGAAAATGGTAGGAACCGACGGATACGAAATGATTTCCCGAATTTTTTGTCGGTTCTGAAGTAAATAAAAACACTGATTAAAATGAAAGCTTTCCTGGCATGAACGAATAAGAATGTATTGCAGATACAAGGTATGCAGCAATAGCTCTGTAGGAAACAGCACAGGAAAGTGACTTACTATTCGCCAACTGGGCAGAATAATTCAAATAATGATCAAAAGTCATCTATTTGCAGAGTCGTTTGAAAATGGTACGAAGATATTAAATTTCCATGGGTTCTTCCCGTTGTAACTGCCCCTCGCGATCGGTCGCCGTAAATGCTCGGTCAGGGCCTAAGTGCCTAAACAACGGACAGACAACATTCATTTTAGCGCCCATACCTAAGAACTGGGTGCTGGCACAAAGTTTGCTCAGGGCCTTGATCTCCTGAAATTCTCGAGATAAATCCTGATGGAATAGTAAAGTTTTCTTTAGTAAAATGATACCTGGAGCTTTCGCAGCATCTGAGTACAGCAATTTTCGTAACGTTTTAACACGATAAAAGGAGAACTAAGAATTCAGAAAGGCTGCAGCAGCTAATAAATTCACAAAAATGTTTTTTCATTCATCGTTGAGCAAGTTCGATGCGCACTCCATACTTTTTGCAAAGGAGAATATCAAAACTTATCTGCCTTTGCTTTGCCTTCACTTTGACCAAGTTTAATGATGGATAAACAAATCTCGCCAGTTTTACGATCAATAACTACGGACACCAAAATAAATCGCCATTTGGTAACGCCCTGTTACTCCCAGTAGTGTCTTCAGGAAAGTTTCACAAAGGAAGACCATTGATTTTGATTTAGATTCTGAGAGATGCGCAAATTAAATTCCCAGCGATTGGTCCCGTACGTTGCAACTGAATGCATCTGGTCCACGCGATGCCAATTTTTTAAATCGCTTCCATGCATTCAGGTAAATTCAGGTCCGGTTCTTATTTTTTCTTGGCATTTTCTCGGTATTTTCTAAATCACATTCTAAAGCTTTTCGAAGGACTACGCACGTTCCAAAGATTGAACCAACCAAGACAACGGATTTCCTCCGTTTCAACCCAAACCAAATTCGGTTGGTTTGGCGGAAGTTTCCCAATACACCTTAGTCTTTTGCGGCTGCAACAAGGGTTGCAGCCCTTTAAACCGGGTTGAAAAAGCTGGTTTAATGACTGATCACCCAAGCTAACCAGAAAGAGTTGTTAACCAACATGACACATTAAAAAATAGTTGGTCCCAATAGAACTCGACCATAGATTGACATGTTACGGGGCCCTTTCAACTTCAATTTTCTGGGCCTCTTTCTTTCTACACCCATCAAATTAACCCAAAAGAGGAAGTGGAGTGAAACAAGACATGCATTTTGTATACCTTTATGCCATTAATTAATTGATTATTCATTAAATTAACATTTCAGTTTGCTACCGCCAATTCAATTTCCTAGCCAATTTCATTTATTTTTCTCCTTAGACGTGATTAAAGATTCTTTTGACAAACAGAGGAACCTTCACGAAGATCATTCTAGATATTATTATTATTGGGATACAAGTAAGATTCTTTTTCAATACTTCGATATGTTTTATTAATTATTTCATTTTCTTCTTTTCTCGCTCCACTTCGTTATCCTTTATGCAACGTGCAAAGTAAAAAAGTCATATTCATCTTCTACACAATTGCGGGTATAGTATGTATTTCTGGTTCGCAAGATGGCACAGCGATAGAATGAAATACGGGCTATGAAGTTTGTTAAAGCAGCCAAGTTCTTATTCCATAAATGAAATTGTCGAAGACGAAACTCAGGGGGTGGGAGTTTTGTAGCGTTTTTCAGTTCCCACATTTCTTTAATAGATTAAACTTACTGTAGGAGCCCGTGCACACCTTTGATAGTGAAGATAAAATTTGATGATTTCAGGAACTTGTTAACATTGTTATGACTCTCTTTGGCAAACTTCGTTTGAAATGCTGAACTGCTTCCAAGATTTAGGCAATTAGAAAGTTTAATTTCGGTCGAAATATCATTTTTGGCATTTGATATCAACAAAAACACTAATTTCCTGTGTTTGACTACGCAACAAAACGGTTTTGCATATTCTCTCTACATAGATAACATCGCTTATGTAAAGATTGTAGCGATGACGGGCGACGCTTATGGTGGAGGTCAAGAGCGTCGCTGGGGCGCAAATCCAGAACTGGAGATCGTTCTGAACAACGGCATGAAATATCGAGCAGAGTTGAAAGGCGACAAGTATAAAGGAAAAAGATACGACACAGAATTGTACGTCCACAGTGACTTCACACCGAAACTCGTGTGCACTCATCAAGACATCAAGAAAGTTTATCTCAAGGCTCGAGGCAATGATGGATGGTACGTAGAATCGATCGCTACCTACACCGCCGGAAGAAATAAAAAGTACACCAAACTGACCACTGATCCAGGCTTCAGTATGTGGGTAGATGGTAATGAGGAACATCTTTTCCCATACAATGCCAAAAAGCACCTCCTCACCAATGCTGTTCCAGGATCCTGTATCACCTACATACGTGTAGACGCAAGTACTGGGGACGAGGTAGGAGCTGGTTTCTCGAGCGAGTGGGGGAAGAACCACTTGATAGTACTGATTCTATCAAATAACCAGAAACTTCAGGCACAACTTGAAGGGCCTATGATACGAGACACAGCTTATATGCGAGAGTTACACTTTGCAAGCCGGTTTCAGACTACACAGTGCGTGACATTATCTGACATTAAGGAAATTCACCTACAAACTCAATATGGAGGAAATGACGGTTGGTACATAGCATCCATTCGCACGTCTGCTAAGACTGGCGATAAGCAGTACGAAGATCTGACAAATGATCCGCGCCTCAACAAGTGGCTTGATGCTAATGAAGAGTACAAGTATCCATACAATGCCAAAGACATCAAACTAACANATTCGTTCCCTTGCGATCCGCCATCTTGATTTGGGCAAGTAAACTCGTCTTTTGGCAGTTTCTGTTTTGCAATTTCCTGGCTCAAGGTTAAGAGGGCATCGTTAAACGTCATCGCTTCTGAATTAATTTACGTGTCATTTATTCATACTGATATGATTAATTTATTTCCTTACCAGGCTGAAAACCAAGATAAAGACCCTGGTAAGTGTTTCAACCGTCCTCCTTTAGCAATTGTAAGTAGCAGTAAAACATTAATTTTTATTTTATTTTTTGTTGTTCTTGCAAATTGCCAAAATATTGTTGCTAACATTTTGTACTATATCAAACATTACATCTAATAAGTACAAGCTTGGATATGGACGTTACATTCAAGTTATGGTGGTGGGAGTAAGCCAAATTCTAAGCCCCAAATTCTCTTCCATCGACGAAAAAAAAAAATACATAAGCGTAAAAACTTACCCTTTGTTCCCTATCATCATCTATTTGCTATTTAGTTTTTTACCACTTGATAGTTTGACCGCAAGAAAAGTGAGTATGATTATTTATTTTTTTCCCAGGAGGGCACGGTAACGAATCTTGCAATCTGATTGGTTCTTAGCGCGGTCCGGATTTTCCTACTTGCCGACCGTATACAAACCATGGCAAAAACTCTTACGAGTTAACTAGCGAGTTACCCAGATACTCGCCAAAGAAAGATGTATTAAATAGCAGATTTATTTCGAACTACTTTTTGTTAGTTGCATCTAGTTTTAGGGTAATCGAATGCTTTTTGGAGCAAACCGGTCGTGATCCGGAAAAAAAAAAACATTGGGATGGAAATTAAATAAGAGCTCCTGCTCAAAAGTGGCCAACATTTTTGACTAAAGACAATCCTGAATGCAAACTACATTACATTGATGAGCAAATTTACGATTGTTCCCGAAGTGCAATTATTCATTTTACTTTTTATCCGATGTAGTTAAATGAATGAATAAATAAATTTCATTTTTTCTCCTCAGACGTACCCAAAGAACTTTTCGACAACTCAAGGGAATATCCTGAAAATAATTTCCATACTTTTGAAGGTTAGTAGATTAGCAATACATTTAATAAATAACAATTAGTGTATCATTTTTTTTTTCTCAGAAGATACTAGAGCGTGCGTGAAAATCACCCCTTGCGAGTTGTAACTATAGTTAAAGCGACAACGGAAGATGACGTTTAAATAGACATAGGCCTAGGAATCGGAGATATATCGGGGTCTCCTTTCTCCGAAACTCCTGTTTCGGGAAAATACAGTTTTGCAAACAAAACGCTCATAATTTACGTAACAAAAGGAAATTGAAAAGAAAGTTGCTGCTCAAATGTGGCCAGTAAGCTAAAGACATCCTGAATGCACCTACGTAACCGACATGCGCAAATCTAAAATTGCCTTCCCCCCCCCGTTTGCAGTTATTCATTGCATTTATTTATTTATTTATTTATTTTTATGTTGAGTAGTTAAATGAATGAATAAATAGATTTCATTTATTTTCCCAAGACGCACCCGAAGAAGTTTTCGACAATTCAAGGGAATATTCCAAATATAATTTCCAGGCTTTTGAAGAAGGTTAGTAGATTATTTAGCAATACATTTAGTACATAGGCAACGATTGGTCTATCATTCTTCTTAGAGATACTAGAGTGAGCGTCAAAATCACCCCCTGCGAGTTGTAAGTAAGTACAGTGATTATGGAAGATAACTCTTAGATAGGCATAAAGGCGTAAGAGCCGGAGGTCTTTCGGCGTTCCAGATCCCACTGCCGTTTTTCCCCTCAAAACTTTGTTTCGAGAGAATCGTACAATCGTACAAAACGCTCATAATTATTATTTAGGCAACAGGATGTCAATTAAATAAACGTACTTACTAAAAAGTGGCCATCAGGCTAACAAAATCCTGCATGCAACCTGCATGACCATATGAGCAAAATTAAAATTCTCCCCGCTGTTTGCAATTATTCATTTCATTTATTCGTTTTATCGGGTGTAGTTTAATAGTCTTAAATAAACGAGTAGATAAATTTCTGTCTTTTTTTTCTATTAGACGTACCAGAAGAAGTTTTCGACAGTTCAAGGGAATATCCCGAAAATAATTTCCAGACTCCTGAAAGAAGTGAGGCGACGATTACCCTATCATTTTTTTTTCAGAAACCCTAGAGCGCGCGTGAAAATCACCCGCTGCGAGTTGTAAATGTTTAGTTGGAAGAGGACTTTTAAATAGCATATGTCTAAGAGCCGGAGGTCTGTGCCGGGGTGTTCGAGAGCCCCCTTCCCCCTTCTCCCGATACCCCTGTTACGAGAGAATCGTACAATTTTGCTGGCAAAACGTTCGTAATTTTGGGTAACAGAAGGAAATTAAAAAGACTTTCGCGCTTAAAAGTGGCCATCAGGTCAAAGACATCCTTAATGCAACCTACATGAACATATGAGCAAATTTAAAATTGTTCCCGCTGCTTGCAATTATTAATTTCATTTTTTGTTTTCAATCTGGTATACTTAAATGAAAGAATAAGTAAGTTTTACTGTTTTTTCCTGAGACGCACCTGAAGACGTTTTCGACGATTCAAGGGAATATCCAGGAAATAATTTCCAGACTTTTACGGTAGAAGGTTAGTAGATTATTTAAAAATACATTTAGTAGACAAAGAGCAGTCAATCTTTTACTCAGAGATACTAGAGCGCGCGTGAAAATCACCACCTAAATTACAGCAATAATGTAAGATGACTTTACAATACCATCAATAGTACTGTTCTAAGAACCGTGGGTCTGTGGGGTTCCACAGCCATATCCCTCCTGTTTCGGGGAAATCAGCACGAACAAACACGATACCTTTGTTCGATCGAATGGAAAATGGTAGGAACCGACGGATACGAAATGATTTCCCGAATTTTTTGTCGGTTCTGAAGTAAATAAAAACACTGATTAAAATGAAAGCTTTCCTGGCATGAACGAATAAGAATGTATTGCAGATACAAGGTATGCAGCAATAGCTCTGTAGGAAACAGCACAGGAAAGTGACTTACTATTCGCCAACTGGGCAGAATAATTCAAATAATGATCAAAAGTCATCTATTTGCAGAGTCGTTTGAAAATGGTACGAAGATATTAAATTTCCATGGGTTCTTCCCGTTGTAACTGCCCCTCGCGATCGGTCGCCGTAAATGCTCGGTCAGGGCCTAAGTGCCTAAACAACGGACAGACAACATTCATTTTAGCGCCCATACCTAAGAACTGGGTGCTGGCACAAAGTTTGCTCAGGGCCTTGATCTCCTGAAATTCTCGAGATAAATCCTGATGGAATAGTAAAGTTTTCTTTAGTAAAATGATACCTGGAGCTTTCGCAGCATCTGAGTACAGCAATTTTCGTAACGTTTTAACACGATAAAAGGAGAACTAAGAATTCAGAAAGGCTGCAGCAGCTAATAAATTCACAAAAATGTTTTTTCATTCATCGTTGAGCAAGTTCGATGCGCACTCCATACTTTTTGCAAAGGAGAATATCAAAACTTATCTGCCTTTGCTTTGCCTTCACTTTGACCAAGTTTAATGATGGATAAACAAATCTCGCCAGTTTTACGATCAATAACTACGGACACCAAAATAAATCGCCATTTGGTAACGCCCTGTTACTCCCAGTAGTGTCTTCAGGAAAGTTTCACAAAGGAAGACCATTGATTTTGATTTAGATTCTGAGAGATGCGCAAATTAAATTCCCAGCGATTGGTCCCGTACGTTGCAACTGAATGCATCTGGTCCACGCGATGCCAATTTTTTAAATCGCTTCCATGCATTCAGGTAAATTCAGGTCCGGTTCTTATTTTTTCTTGGCATTTTCTCGGTATTTTCTAAATCACATTCTAAAGCTTTTCGAAGGACTACGCACGTTCCAAAGATTGAACCAACCAAGACAACGGATTTCCTCCGTTTCAACCCAAACCAAATTCGGTTGGTTTGGCGGAAGTTTCCCAATACACCTTAGTCTTTTGCGGCTGCAACAAGGGTTGCAGCCCTTTAAACCGGGTTGAAAAAGCTGGTTTAATGACTGATCACCCAAGCTAACCAGAAAGAGTTGTTAACCAACATGACACATTAAAAAATAGTTGGTCCCAATAGAACTCGACCATAGATTGACATGTTACGGGGCCCTTTCAACTTCAATTTTCTGGGCCTCTTTCTTTCTACACCCATCAAATTAACCCAAAAGAGGAAGTGGAGTGAAACAAGACATGCATTTTGTATACCTTTATGCCATTAATTAATTGATTATTCATTAAATTAACATTTCAGTTTGCTACCGCCAATTCAATTTCCTAGCCAATTTCATTTATTTTTCTCCTTAGACGTGATTAAAGATTCTTTTGACAAACAGAGGAACCTTCACGAAGATCATTCTAGATATTATTATTATTGGGATACAAGTAAGATTCTTTTTCAATACTTCGATATGTTTTATTAATTATTTCATTTTCTTCTTTTCTCGCTCCACTTCGTTATCCTTTATGCAACGTGCAAAGTAAAAAAGTCATATTCATCTTCTACACAATTGCGGGTATAGTATGTATTTCTGGTTCGCAAGATGGCACAGCGATAGAATGAAATACGGGCTATGAAGTTTGTTAAAGCAGCCAAGTTCTTATTCCATAAATGAAATTGTCGAAGACGAAACTCAGGGGGTGGGAGTTTTGTAGCGTTTTTCAGTTCCCACATTTCTTTAATAGATTAAACTTACTGTAGGAGCCCGTGCACACCTTTGATAGTGAAGATAAAATTTGATGATTTCAGGAACTTGTTAACATTGTTATGACTCTCTTTGGCAAACTTCGTTTGAAATGCTGAACTGCTTCCAAGATTTAGGCAATTAGAAAGTTTAATTTCGGTCGAAATATCATTTTTGGCATTTGATATCAACAAAAACACTAATTTCCTGTGTTTGACTACGCAACAAAACGGTTTTGCATATTCTCTCTACATAGATAACATCGCTTATGTAAAGATTGTAGCGATGACGGGCGACGCTTATGGTGGAGGTCAAGAGCGTCGCTGGGGCGCAAATCCAGAACTGGAGATCGTTCTGAACAACGGCATGAAATATCGAGCAGAGTTGAAAGGCGACAAGTATAAAGGAAAAAGATACGACACAGAATTGTACGTCCACAGTGACTTCACACCGAAACTCGTGTGCACTCATCAAGACATCAAGAAAGTTTATCTCAAGGCTCGAGGCAATGATGGATGGTACGTAGAATCGATCGCTACCTACACCGCCGGAAGAAATAAAAAGTACACCAAACTGACCACTGATCCAGGCTTCAGTATGTGGGTAGATGGTAATGAGGAACATCTTTTCCCATACAATGCCAAAAAGCACCTCCTCACCAATGCTGTTCCAGGATCCTGTATCACCTACATACGTGTAGACGCAAGTACTGGGGACGAGGTAGGAGCTGGTTTCTCGAGCGAGTGGGGGAAGAACCACTTGATAGTACTGATTCTATCAAATAACCAGAAACTTCAGGCACAACTTGAAGGGCCTATGATACGAGACACAGCTTATATGCGAGAGTTACACTTTGCAAGCCGGTTTCAGACTACACAGTGCGTGACATTATCTGACATTAAGGAAATTCACCTACAAACTCAATATGGAGGAAATGACGGTTGGTACATAGCATCCATTCGCACGTCTGCTAAGACTGGCGATAAGCAGTACGAAGATCTGACAAATGATCCGCGCCTCAACAAGTGGCTTGATGCTAATGAAGAGTACAAGTATCCATACAATGCCAAAGACATCAAACTAACA